TATCTGTCATTATGTTATGAGAAACTAATACAACACTATACTGTAGTCCATGCTGGCTCTTGGGTGACCATGCCATAATAAATCATAAACTCATCTCCTATCATCTGTCATAGTGCTATCATAGAAAACAAATACACTATACTGTACAGCTACTCCCCAACTTATGACCGCCTCAGTCGTACCAAAATTTTGTCAAATTATGTATTTACGAGTCCCAACGTCAGTGATTGCACTGTGTACTGCCAAAAAAAAATTTTGTAATTCCCTTTAAAATGGTTGGCAAGCTTAAAAGTGAGAGTTTTGTGGTGCTGAGAAGAAAAAGAGACACCCATTTCAGATTTTCTATGTACAGTGGGGTATGCTATAACGAATCTAATTGGTTCTAGAACCTTGTTCGTTTAACTGAAAACACTAATTACCAAATTAGTAAGAAAAAAAAAAAAATTTTCTGGAGGAGTTTTCTGTTATAGAATTCTCAATTTTATAGATAAAACCGTTCGTTATAGGAATATTCGGAGTAGGATCCGTTCGTTATAGCATACCCCACTGTATTATTTAAGCATTGTCAGAAGTCTAGGAGAGACTGTATAAGGAAACGACATCATGCCAAGTATTTTTCAAAGGGGCGTCTGTGCGTGATACAATCTCTTGAAATTTGTTGGAATGCCCCTAAATAAAGATTTTTCTCAAAATTTCTTGGATTGCCGTTTGTTTTTCCGGGTAATGGAAAAGTGCGTTGATGAAAGATTGTGGCTTATGGGTAGATTACAGTATTTCATTCAAGGGTTAAATAAATGCTGTATTGTAACACATCTCTTAACCTTTAAAAATAACTAAATCTGTTTGTTTCCAGCCATGAGCTTGCTGTACAGTATATCATAAGAAAATAAGGAGTCTGCAATAGGCCGGTTGGTCTGTGCATGGCAGCTCCTGTTAAGAATTACTACCACTCTCTATCATCCATGAATCTATCTAGCCTCCTTTTAAAACTTTCCAGCGTTCCAGCACTTACTACAAAGTTGCTAAGCTTGTTCCACTCGTCCACCACCCTATTTGTGAACCATGCTGCACAGTATCTCTAAAATCAGATCAATTAAATATCAATTGAGAAATATAATCTGTTTAACTCCAAATGTACATCAGATCAGTAAAAAAATAACTTCAGTGATTTATTCTCCTGAAAGTCAGATTAGTAAAAAAAAAATACTAACTTAAGGGTGTAAAGTATTGTCTAAAAGGTGAGGTAAGTACAGTAAAGTTTATACCTGGAAATATCACAATTTCTCCAAGACGGAAATGATTCAAGTACTGGCACCTTCTTGGACAGTTGAGTCACTAGAGGTCAAGTTACTGGCACCTTCTTGGACAGAGAGTTACAGTATTATACATAAAGACCTTAACACAGTAATAATACAGTGGTCCCTCGGTTAACGAGTTACCTTCCATAAGATTCTTAACTTCGGTTAACGAGCAAACCGATTAACGAGTTTCTTACGAGCCGACCTCAACATGTTTTGCTTGCATTAGGCAGTCCACCAGCTGTAGTATTAGTCCACCAATACAGTTATCGGTTCTAGGGCTTAAATTCCTTACCATTTTAGTAAATATCAAGAAGTTTATGCTATTCAATAATTTTAAAGTTTTATATTAAATTTTTTAGTCATTTTAACAATTATTGAACAAAATTGAAGTATAGGAAGCTGTTTTTTGCCCGCCATACAGCCTGTCAACACACCATACAGGCGTCAGTCTCTGTGTCTTTCATAACATCTTGCTTGAGACTCTTCAACTAAACTCTTTTTTTCTGTTTCCAAGCAAATTATTGGTCAATTTGAAATTTATTTTACATATTGACACCGTATATAATGCAGTGCAGTGTTGATTTAAAGAAAATAACCTTGAATTACACCAAGAGCTAAAATTTTATGGGTGAAATGGCACCATGGGGTGACTTCTCTTCCACCCCAATGCCTTTTCTCTCTTCTCCTCCCACCATTCTAATTCCCATCATCATCACAGGAGCCTTCTACATACACACCTCAAAGTAAGTGAACTTTACTACCTTTTTTGTTGATTTTAGGCAATTTTCAGTGAGCTGGAACCTATTACCCAAAACCCATTGAAACAATGGTTTCGGTTAACGAGCAACCTTCTAGAATGGATTGTGCTCGTTAACCGAGGGACTACTGTAGTCACTTCTTAACAAGTAATACACAGTAGACTTTTTTATCATTTGTGGGTTTGTCATTTGGGATTATGATGATTCGTGGTGAACAGATGGTGGCTAGCTTGTGAGCCTTATACCACAGCACAATGAGTGTGTCTAAAATAAAAATATACTGTATACTCTCTAGTCAATTGTATTATAGTGTATATATATATATATATATATATATATATATATATATATATATATATATATATATATATATATATATATATATATATATATATATATATATAAATAAATAAATGCTTAAAAATAAAGTATGAATCTTGAACTGAAGTCATAAGACATACATAATGGCCCCTCTGATCAACACTAGACTACAGGTATCAAAATAGCAACACAAGTCACTGCTGGTATTAGTAGGCCATCAATAAGACATACATAATGGCTCCTCTGATCAACACTAGATTATAGGTATCAAAATAGCAACGCTAGTCACTGCCGCGATTAATAGGACGTCAAAGGCCGTACTTCTTTTTAAGCAAGTCGAGCATCTTCGCAGGTTTGATCCAGGGTCGGTAATCCATCTCGTTGTAAGCCGTGTGGAGATGGTTGCATGGGGGATATTCTAGCACGTGGTTTATCATCATTGGGAAGAGATCTGTAACGAGAGAGAGAGAAAACTGTAAAGCAAATATATACAGTATGTGTGTTTAAGTGAGTATTGTACTGTACAGCAAGACCTTGAAATTCACGGGGGGTTTGGTTCTCAAAATGGCCGTGAATAACATTTGTTGACCAGGGAAAGATACATTTTTACTCGCTTGCAAAAAAATGTATAATCCCTTTGTCGGGGTCTAGGTGTATATATATATATATATATATATATATATATATATATATATATATATATATATATATATATATATATATATATATATATATATATATATATATATACAGGGGTATATATGTATGTGTGGGTGGGTAGACATATATACAGTATGTGTGTGTGCATGTAGACATATATATATATGTGTGTGTACATATTTATGTGTGTGTGGGTGTGTAGACATAAATATACAATACAGGTAAAAGAAATTACTGTCTCTAGACCAAATGGCTCCCTGTCCCGACCACAAAAATGCTGGCAACTTTAAAACTACCCACATCCAGGGTATCATCCGTGAATAACCGAGGTCCGTGAATTAAAAATCTGCAAATTGTCAGGGCATGCACACACACTCGACCACTACACTACGGTACATGAGTATAAGTGAATAACTATTGTACATTACTATAAAGAGTTCCTTATTAAATTAAAAGGTAAATCACCTACCTGGGCTTATCGTCCGTACTCAGGTACTTGTGAAGATACGCTCCAAGGACTCTGAATGGGTGTAATGGTAGCTGTCTATATTACTCGGGGCTTTGGGTAGATGCAGTGATGTTGGTGGTGTTAGCTGCCCCAGAAGTGTTGAAGTGGCATATGGTGTCTGAAAATTAAAACTTATTAATAGGTGGAGTTAGCTGCTTTAAATGGTGGAGTTAGCTGCCTTAAATGGTGGAGTTAGCTGCCTTAAATGGTGTGATTAGTTGCCTTAAATGGTGTAGTTAGTTGCCTTAAATGGTGTAGTTAGCTGTCCCAGAGTTGTTGAGGTAACATATGGTGTCTGAAAATTAAAACACTTATTGAGAGGAATCTAAAAGGTCATTTGGTTCATCACAACAACGACCTTAAACTTCTGATGCGTTTCTACCTCTTTTAATATCTGATTAAGTAACGTACTACTAATAAACCACTCTAACTATATCAGGGTTAATAATTGTACCTTAAATAACCACTACAATAAACCACTCTAACTATATCAGGGTTAATAATTGTACCTTAAATAACCACTACTTAATAAACCACTCTAACTATATCAGGGTTAATAATTGTACCTTAAATAACCACTACTTAATAAACCACTCTAACTATATCAGGGTTAATAATTGTACCTTAAATAACCACTACAACAGTTACTTTACCTTGAGGTGTTTATCTATCTCTTGTAAACTGATTGAGAAAGATTCTTGTTGAGAGTCTTGGTGTTGTCTCTTGGTCTGGGAGATTTTATGCATACGATCATGGTTGGTCTGGGACTGGTGCTGGTAGAGACCCATCAATCGGTCGTGCCTCAATTTCCACGTGTCGTCGTCCTCATCGCGTAAGCTGAGTCGGGCGCGGAAGCGGTTATTTCCTCCGATTTCTCGTCGATCTCGTTCACGAACCCCGTTCGAGCGAGATTTTCGTTCTGGCTAGAGATTCCTGTTGTTTGTTTTGGTCTTGAATGATGCGATTGAGTTGCGTGAGCTTAGCATTCATTTCTAACTGGTATTTATTTTCAATTTCCCGATGAAAAAGCTGGAGACTCTTCTTGGACACAAACTCCCGAGGTATTTGTCTCTGTAACTCTTGTAGCTGTTCTTCCGTCTTCTTCTGCATCTGTTCTGCCAATTCCTTCTCCTGCTTCACTAACTCAAAGGACAATTTCTCACCTTTAAGAATCATAATACTTTGTTTTAAATCAAGTTTTTCCTTATTTATATCATCTATTTTCTTCCTCAGCGCATCAATGGCTGTATCTCTAGACTCGATCTCAATTTCAAGTTCTTTCTTATGTTCTTCCATGTCCTGTAAGGCCTCCCGCGTCTCCCCGGCCTGAGACAGTTCCCGCTGGTGTGCGGTCAACGCCTCTTTGGCCCTCGTCAGTTGTTTCTCCAGTTCTAACCTGTTGTTCTTCTCCAGGCCGAGTGTCGCCTCGGCCTCCTTCCTACTCTTTCCAGTCTGTGGGTTGGTTCGTTCCTCGTTGTAGCGATTCTCCGCGTCCTGTCTCCGCCTCGAGCTTCTTCACCTCCTGTTGCCTTCTGAACGTCGCTGCGTCGTCGTCGTCTCGGCTTGATGGGCGTGCGTTCCATGGACGCTTGCTGTAGGCGTTCCATCAGTTCCCGAATCTTTGCCTCTGCCGTGTCTTGAGCATCACGGAGGACCTGTAGCTCTCCGTCGTGCCACTGGCGCTGCTGCTGCTCTGCCTGTAGCAACCGCACCGAGTTAGCGTTTTCAGAAGACAGCCGGAAGTTCTCCTGGCCGGGCCTTGGCAGCGTCGGCGCTCTGGTCAACGTTCTTGGTGGCCTCCTGGTGGATCTTCTGTTCCTTCTCTTTTATGATTCCTTCAAGATGCTCCAACTTTTCCTGTAGAGACTCAATCCTCAATTTTTGTTCTTCATCTTTACAACTTTTATCTTCCAGTCTCATAGTCTGTAATACAATAAAATCAAATATTAAAACTAAACTAGAGTAATTCCTATATAGTTTAAATACATCCTGAGGAAAGTTTTAGGTTTAACTTTTAGGTTTAATAAAGGTGAAGTGAGTCTTATGGTGTCCTGATGATCTTATTACAATTACTAGAGAATTGTGGAGTGATTAGGTTTAATAAAAATAAATAAAATACAATAAAGTACAGTAAAGTATATAACTATGAGTTATATTTGTGAGGTAATCTAACTAAGTAAACCTGTTAAGTCTTACCTGTTGTCTTAACTTATCCTGTAGAGTTTCCTTGGCACTTATCAACAAGACCAACTCATTATCCTTATCATTTATTGCTTCTTTTAACAAACACACTTCTCTTCTTTCCCTTGATATTTGTCCTTGAGTCACCGTGCTGCGAAGTTCATTCTGTAAGGCCTCCAGTTGTTTGATTATGCTGTCGTTCTGGAATTTCAACGTCGATATGGCCTGTTCGTTAGTCGCTGAGGAAGATATCAGAGTGTCGTCGATAATCCCACTGGACGACGGCGAGCTCTGGGCTGCTTCTAGCGACGACTGTACCCTCAGGAGACCGGACTGCATACCGGATATCTGAGTCGTCATCTCCATTACCTGTTTGGATAGCCGGCCTTCTGATCCTCCGAGACGTTGACGTGCTCGGAGACCTCGTTGATCCTCTGGAGTAACGTCTGCTGGAGCCTTGAAGTGATCTTGAATTATTTGGAAGTTTTCCTCTAAGGCTTCACTAAGACTTGTTTCTGAGGTTCTGGACCTGAGGAGATGAGTCAGGCGTTTATTACTCTCGTTAATATCGTTGATGCGTTCGTCTAGTGTTGCCTGATCGCTCTTCATGTCATTATTTACCCCCTGTAGAGACTGTTCAATGATATATATTTTCTTGAGAATGTCATCAGCTACTTGTTGTATACCAGAGATGTCATTAGCGATGTAGTTCTTCTCCATCGACAGTGTAAGGGATTTTTCAAGCGTTTCAAGTTTATCCACAATTTCTCTCACCGGGCTCTGGGACGCACCGCTATCGTCACAACGACCTGAGGACTCCACAGCCCTCACGAGTTCGTTAATGCGACTAACCAGCTGTTCTTTCAGGTCGTCAAATCCCCGAGAACTGGAATCTTTACTTTCGTTGCGGTGGTCCGATACGCACGTCCAAATCTCTCCGTTGGTTTCCTTGAGGTCTGTTATAGAAGCTGCCATATTCCCCACCACTTGCTGACTGGACTCCTGACTTGACTGGAGTTCATTTAATTCTTTCCTTAGGTGATCCAGTTTACATTGTATATCTGAACTCACTTGTGTTATATCACCCTTGAGATCACCTGAATATATTGCTGTATTATCACTGTAGACTTTGATCACAGTATCTAGCTGCCCCTCCAATATGTCTTGTATATGTGACAAACCTTCACTTAACCTCTGACAGGTCTCCTCACACTGTATAGTTGATGCTTGATGTAGAGAATCATTTATATTACATCCAAGTTTATCAATTTGGTTTATAATAGTTTTACTGATCTTCTCAAGAGTCGAGGTCTGACTCGCTTCACCGGCCTCCGTGATGAGAGCCTCGACGGCATGAGAGAAGTCTTGTAGCCCGGTTCAATGGCCGAGGCGATCATCTCGGGGTGGACAGTTTCTCCTGACTCGCTAAGGGGATTCACTGGATCAGTTTGAACGCCAGTTTGTCTTATCACTACAGCTGCCTGACAGGATGATTCACAGACAATCCTCTTATCTTCTTCGGCAAGGGACAACTAGATCCTGTCGGTGGTTGAGTTTGCATGTGACGACTCTGTGTGTACGCGTGCGTCTGGGACGACTTCATCGATCTCTCTGAGTACACTGAACCTGTGTGTTGGTTAATACTTTCTTAAACTCACCAGTCTGAGCTGCCATGTCCACCATACACCCATATTTACTTTCTCTATCTTTAATTTCTTGTGTCTGAGTCGACGTCGAAGCAGTCTTGGCGTCAATTACTAAGCGAGCATCACACGCTCGTTGAGGCAAAAATATCCTTTAATTCATCATTTTCTTCCGTTTGGACCAACACGTGTTCGGTCGTTGGTAAAGAAGCGTCAGTCTGCGTGTTAGACTCTCTCTGTGTAGAATATGTCGCATCGGTCTGGACGTGGGCTGTGGTAGAGGGTGTGGGACAGAAGTAAGTCTCCTCTGTCTGGCAACTTTTCATCGAAACATATCTGGAAAATACACAAGGTGGTAATGGTGTTAATAAATCTCAAACTAAATGACAAATAATATACTGGTAGTTAAATAATTATTAAAAAAATATACAAGGTGATAATTCTGTCATTCATTATCAAACTAAATGACAAATAATTTAATAGTACTGTAGTTAAATAATTGTTAAAAAATATACAAGATGATAATATGGTGTCAATAATTCTTTTAACTAACAGACAAATAACCTACTTAGTAGTTATCAATCCTAAAAAGAAAAATATTACCATTATTAAAGATTCCTCGACTATATATCAATAACATAACAGATTATCTTTACTTAGTCTGAGATGATAGTTCCTCCAGCCTCCCCCGAAGACCGTCATTTACCTGTTCCTTGGTCTGCAGTTGTGCCATGAGAGAATCGACGAGCTGTTCCTGGTGTTGGGCGTGTGGCGGAGTTGGCTACACTGTTCCTCGAGTTGGACGCACTGTTGGTGAAAATCCCGAGAGACTGATCCTTAAGTCGCGAAGAATCTTGTTCGTGCCGTCCTTGGTATTCCAGCTGCCTGATGCGCATAGTGTAGAGATCTGTGGAGTGTAATTCTCTCTATATAAACAGTACTGGTGTGTGACAGTACTCATATGTGACAGTACTCATGTGACAGTAGTACTCATTCATTCACTATCTATTGTATATAAGTGTACACAACCTGTAACATACTGTACCATATTAACGTTACAACTGCTACACATAATACTGTCCCATATTTACTTAACCAAGTTACACCTATACAGTAAACTCCCTTACCTCTTGTTGCTGCTCTCCGCTGTAAGTCAACCTCTAGCTGGCCACCGATGACCTTAGCATTTTTCTCTCTCAGCTGGATATTAGACACTCGGGTTCCTAGGGCGACTTCAGGCCCGAATTCCTTCTCCAACTTGAGACGCAGTTCCCTCACCAGATCCTGAAGCTGGCCGACATCAGAGGCATCTGGGAGGGACGACAACGGCGTCAGGAGGCAATCCTTGAGACCCGAGTTGATGTGGGCGCTTTCCTCTGTCTCGGTGGAGGCCGCACCATCGTCCGGTTCCTCTGGCCCTCGTGGCGTAGAGGAGTGGTCTATCGAGTCATCGTCGCTGAATACCACGCTGCCTCGACTGCCTGGTGTTGTTGGTAAGGTGTACATGTCTTCATTCTTCTTGTCTGGTGAGGTTTGTCTGAGTTCATTCTTCTTGTCTGGTGAGATGTGTCTGGGTTCATTCTTCTTGTCTTGGGGGTGTGTCTGGGTTCATTCTTCTTGTCTGGTGGGGTGTCTGGGTTCATTCTTCTTGTCTGTGAGATGTGTCTGGGTTCATTCTTCTTGTCTGGTGGGGTGTGTCTGGGTTCATTCTTGTCTCTCTGGTGAGGTTTGTCTGGGTTCATTCTTATTGTCTGGTGGGGTGTGTCTGGGTTCATTCTTCTTGTCTGGTGGGTGTGTCTGGGTTCATTCTTCTTGTCTGGTGGGAGTGTCTGGGTTCATTCTTCTTGTCTGGTGGGGTGTGTCTGGGTTCATTCTTGTTGTCTGGTGGGGTTTGTCTGGGTTCATTCTTCTTGTCTGGTGGGGTGTGTCTGCCTTCACTCTTGTCTGCTGGGGTGTGTCTGCTTTCACTCTCCCTGTATAACATTTGCTTTTTATTGGCTTCTAACTTAATCTTCTCTGTAGATTTTGTGAATATCGACAAGTTTTTCCCAACATTAATTGCCTCTGAATCTTCTCTTGGCAGGATTAAAAGTTTCTTGCCGTTTCCATAAGATATTGAGTCTTCAGATTGTGGTAATTTTTCTTCGACTGCCAGCGATTGATCTTTCATTCCGGTTAATAATCGTAAGGAAGTTGGGACTGTCTTGGGTGATAGCTTGGCAGGCGAGACAAGGACTGGTTTTGAATCTAGTAAATCGTCGACTCCGGAGGAAAAGTCGTCATAGCTACAACCACGTCCGATGGCGACCTCTGTTTCCAAGACATTATCGACTTCATCTCTGCAATCATTCTTCTGTTTATCTGTATTTCTTAATTCATCATCATTATTATCATCTGTATCTCTTCCTATGCTACTGTTATCATGTTGACTTTCTCTATTCATAACTTCCATTACAGTATTTGGATCAGCAGTACCAGTCGGGTCAGGAAAATACTTTGAGTCATCTTTTGGTGAATCATCTGAGTTCTGGATGCTGCTGCTAGTAGTAGAACCAGAGGATTTCTTTTTAGCTATTATACTTGCATTAGATTCCCACATCTCTTCAATCTCATGCATCGTGCCCACCCGACCTAGAGTACCAACGACCGTCGATAATGTATCGGTGCGAGATTCGCCAGTAGTGGTGCAAGGAACCAGGAGTGACGATTTATTCCCACCAATACTACAATTTTCACCTTCTAATTGGATCTTATCTTCCAATTCTTCTTTATTTTCTTGTTTTACTTTAGGTGAAATTATTACTTTATCTACCCTATTACTCTCTTTATCTGATTCTTTATTCTTACTTTCTTCCTCACTGTCCCAATCACCTCTTTCTAATTGGGTCTTATCTTCTAATTCTTCTTTATTGTCTTGTTTTCCTTTAGGTGAAATTATCGCTTTTTCTACCCTATTACTGTCTTCATCTGATTCCTTATTCTTTCTCCCTTCCTCACTGTCCCAATCAGCCTGGTCTAAGACATTACTCCCTGTAGATCGTTTACTCTTAACAGGCGTACTACTCTTCCTCCTGTGTGGTCGTCGCGAAGAGATACATTCCTCGCTGTCGCTGTCGGGTTATTTGATCTGTGGAGGTGAGACCTGGTTTTCCTCGGAGACCTCCTCTTGGGCGGAGATCTCCGTGGGGACTCTTTAAACACCGAACTTCTCCTACGTCCCAACGCAGAACTTTGGGGTAAATTACTCGGAGAAGCATCATTTTCTCCCGAGTCTCCGTGAATTAGTCTAGTAGGAGATTCCTTTCCCGTACTCTTCGGAGATGTCAAATATCCCGACCGGAACGTGGAGATGCTAGACGGAGATACTTCACCGGGACTATTGTTCCCTCCTCCTGGGGTCAAGGAACTCTTACGACTGATGGTAACTCTCTTGGGAGTTCCCTCGAGAGGTAAGTCCGGTTCCTCTTCATCTTTAAAGGAAATGTCTGCCTTCTGATGATGAATGATACTCTATATTACTGAGTCCTAGTTCAGCTAGCATGTCCTCTCTAGTTATCCTAGACTGAGAAACAACATCACCCAGGCTTCCCTTCTGTTTAGTTATCCTAGACTGAGAAACAACATCACCCAGGCTTCCCTTCTGTTTAGTTATCCTTGACTGAGAAACAACATCACCCAGGCTTCCCTTACCTCTGTCTACTTCTTTCCCAGGATTCAATTCATCTCTGAACAGACCAGATGACTTTAACTTTGGTTCTTCTTCTTCTGATGATGATTTCCAGGAGTCATCTGCTTTTAAACTATTACCTCGATCTTGTTCTTTTTCTCGATCTTGTTCTTCTTCTTGATCTTCTTCTCGATCTTGTTCACTATGTTCATCTCTTCCATCACCATCTATTAGTTCACTGAAGAACTGGTATATAAACGCTGGCTTGGGAGGCCCTACTACGCCACCAGAGGGCTCTGAGGCGAACAAGTTACCTGCCGACTCATCAGACGACGGCAAGAATTTAGTCAGGTTGAGTTTGGGTTTTTCTTTGATGGAGTCGACGTCGCTGCTGCTGTCGCTCCACGAATTATCTCCCCCGTAGCTGCTGTGTCTGTCCTCTGAGGTGAGTCCTAAGGGTCCTTCACTATGTTTGTCCTTTGGGGTGCGTCCTGAGGGCCCTTCGCTGTGTCTGTCCTCCGAGGTGAGTCCTACGGGTCCTTCGCTATGTCTGTCCTCTGAGGTGCGTCTTGAGGGTCCTAGGCCCAGTTCGCTCCCGTCGTCGCTCACGTTTATCAGACCCTCGGGAACCAAACCCGAACCTCCGTCTCCATCCATCAGCATCTTGAGGCGTCGATGGAGCTGATTGTGATTGGTAAACGAAGCGTAATCGGCCGACCACTTACTGGCGTCGACGGGGGACACGCTGGCCCCGTTGTCGAGGAGGGACTCGACCAGAGGGACGTTACCCATCTTGGCCGCTACCATGAGGGGAGTGACGCCCTCCTTGTCCGCCACGTTAACGCCGGGCCCTGTCTCAGCAGGGCCTCGACAGCCTCATCTTGGTTCTCGGAACACGACTGCAGGGGACAGCGGCGAGGAGTTGGGGGTGAGTCCCCGCCAGTCGAGTAGCAGCACCAAGAGTTCAGTCGCCCCGGTTCTGGCGGCCAGGTGGCAGGAGTTGTTCTTGTGATGGTCCGCCACTTTACTGTCAACCTGAAATAAGAGACAATTATTAATACTTATTTTAAAAGTTATAAACAAGATAACAAATAAAGATCATCTCTGAGTTATTAATAATTAATTTAAAAGTTATAAACAAGATAACAAATAAAGATCATCTCACATCACTTCAACTCATGTCCTATACACAAGCAATGGTCACTAAAACACTTCAACTCATGTCCTATACACAAGCAATGGTCACTAAAACACTTCAACTCATGTCCTATACACAAGCAATGGTCACTAAAACCTATGTACAGTATACATTATTTTATACACCCTGTAATTAAAGACATGTTTTACTTCCACAGTGTGTATGAGTAAAGCACTTATGACAATTGTACAACACACAGTACAGTACAGAACAGTGTGTATTAGTACTTTATGTTGACAATTGTACAACACACAGTACAGTACAACACACACACAGTACAGTACATACCCGTCTCTGTAGCAGCATCTGAACTATATGAACCTGGGATCTTCATGGCTCTCAGGAAAGGTGTCATTCCAGCATTATCTTTCATCTCTACGTTACATTTGCTGCCTAAGAGGAACAGCACAGCTTCCCCGTGACCCTGTGCAGCTGCAAAGGTGTAAAGCTGTCTTTCCCTCGCTGTCTTGAGCATCGACGGGCACCTGGTAAACACAGTGAGATGTTTATTGATGTTGTCTGTATAGTATAAAACATTATTTAAGATGTTACTACAGTAAACATCATTTTCCTCATGTGGTTAAGTTACACTAAACATTATACTATAAATAAATTAAATAAATTATATATTTCATTATCGATCTATCCATCATCTATCAATCTATCCATTATCTATCCATCACAGCAGGAAGAAACAATAAACTTTACCTTCTTTATAAACTTTCTAAGCTTGATAGTGTCACCTAGGATAAACAATAAGCTTTACCTTCTTTATAAACTTTCTAAGCTTGATAGTGTCACCTAGGAAGCCCCACTTGTGTAGTTTAGTAAAGTTCTTATCTTGTTTACTGTGAGGGTCAACCTGGGTGGTGGTGGTGGTGGTGGTAGAGAGGCCGCTGTTAAATGAGTCTAAGGACTGAGTCTCATAGCTGTAGTAGGAGCCTCTCACCCTGAGAGACGAGAGATAAATTATATTGTTTTTATTTGTTTTAATATCGTGGAATATATGTTTTAAAAATATTCGTAATGTTTGGAGTGATGTTTTTAACCCCTTTTGAGTTCTGGGGAGTTAAATAATTATCTTTAAAGGGTTAAAACATTGTCCTCAAAGGGTTAAAGTTATATTCATTGTCATCAAAGGGTTAAACCATCATTTTCAAAGGGTTCAAATATCGTCCTCAAAGGGTTAAAGTAGAAGTTACGTGAATTGTAATTTTTTTTTACACAAATTTAAAAAACAAACTAAATTCCTTCAATTTGTAGATAAAAAGGGAGAATAAATGCTGGAAATTCCGATTTTTTTTATCATTAATATTAATTAAGATGTTATGCAGTTCTTTAAACAATGATATGAAACAGTACAGTAGTATAGTAAACCATCGATAACTCAGCATTTGATAACTACCAAACCAAAAAAACTAACACATTTGATAACTCAGCATTTGATAACTCAGCATTTGATAACTCAGAATTTGATAACTCAGAATTTGATAACTCAGCATTTGATAACTCAGCATTTGATAACTATCATGCCTCCGTGTCACCTACAGTGCTACATGAACACATATATGGGTCGATAATTTTTAATGTATTTTTGTAGGAGGGAGAAAGTGTCCCGATAAATGAGAACTTAGGGATAACTCAGCAAGGCCAGAACCCCATAGGTGCCAAGTTATCGTGATTAAGTAATAGAGGGTTGACTGTACGTTCTGTCCACAGTCATTACACAAACTGTTCTCTGTTACTTACTGCTCATAGTACAGTCCACAAATTGAACATTATAGTGGTAACTGTATTAACTGACTCTACAGCACAGCACAGAACAGCACAGTATAGTACAGCACAGTATAGTACAGTAAGCATATGGTGGCTAGTTTGTGACCCCGGCTTACAGCACAGCACAGCACAGTATAGTACAGTAAGCATATGGTGGCTAGTTTGTGACCCTGCTTACACAGCACAGACACAGCACAGCACAGCACAGAGAAGCACAGTACAGTACAGCACAGCACAGCATTATAGTACAGTAAGCATATGGTGGCTAGTTTGACCCGACTTACCCCGACTCAAGAAGCGACCCAGAGATGTTTTATGTGTTGCCGAGAGTGACGGACCTTGGTGAACCTGAGGGGTGGTCATCGCTCTGGCCACTACCACCGCTTAGGTTGACCACAGAACCAAACACCCTCTTAAATTTCTTCATTTTCTCTATGGAAAATATTATCGAGCTGTAGTTTAATTCAACAACAATATATTCTACAAAATACATAAATAATCACACCTTAGCTATACATTGTAGGATATTTTACCACAAAACATTAATTATTTCTTGTCTTATACGTACACAAATATTATGTTATTGTATGACTATAAATTTTTACAATTAATTTGACAATAAGGAAACAGACCTAACCTAACCAACACATCAATAGTCATCATTTAACCTGACCTGACCTGACCTAACTTGACCTGACCCGACCTGATCTAACCAAACCTAACCTAACTGAATCTAACCAATCTAATTTAACAGTTGGACAGCTTAAGTGACGTTAGGTTTGAATAGGTTAGGTTTGGAGGATTAACGGTAGAAATAAGGGTCAGATTCGTTCAAAAAACATCAGAAAAAACATAATTCAACCTCAAAAAACACTGGAAAAAAATACCCAAAGATATTAGATTTTTTTAAATTTTCTTAAATGAATCATAATTGGACAAAATACCATAGAAGAAAAACGTCTTAGAATTACCTAAACTACTGATTCCAATAAACAAATAAAAAAATTACGAAATAAATAAATAAGACAGGACCCAAAACGAGAACTTTACTGAATAAAATACTAATAATTCACAGTGAAACACCTAACAAGAAGTAGTTAAGGCATAAAACTAATCTAAACTACTAATAAACTACCCAATCACCATAAAATAACAATAACTACAACGAAATATCTAACATAGGGGAAAAAGTAATTATAGTTCTCTCACATAAATCAAAGACGAGAAGTTCATTAGGTATCATCACTACACACAAGACCTCACATCATATTTCATTATTAATAGTAGTTAACACTTAAATACATCGTTAACGACCCACAGAGACACAATTTAGTAGTTGAGTCATCCTCTTGTTGTTAGTGAGACAGGTTGACCAACATTACCGATTATATTATTTATTTAAAAACAAATTATTTTTACTAATAAATATAAAATAAAATAAATATAAAACATTATTTAATTTATAACTTTAAAATAAATATATTGAATTATTTTATAAAGAAAAAATCCAAATAAGACTAAATAATGAGTTTAATTACTGTTGGTATGTCTGACTAATAGCAACAAACATTATAAAAATCAAATATAAATTCCTATTAAATCAAGATAAAATTCCTATTAATTTAACCTAAAAATTAATAAATTAACTCAATAAATTCATAAAATAGAGATAAATTAAGGTATTATATGGTGTTGTTTAGTTGACCAGCAGGGAGGGGAGGAGGCTGTTGAACCTCCTGTGGTAGTTAATAGCCAGAGAGAACTAGCAATGGGTCAACGGGACGAGGAGAGAGTTGGGACACTAGAAGATACAGCAGTGAAGAGAAGAGAGAAGCTATTGGCACTGAAGAAGAGGAGACGAGGAGGAGAGGAAGAGGAGGAAAGAAGGAGGAGGGGGAAGACTTACCTCCTCCACAAGTACTCTTCAGGTCTCTGTCTATTAGCTATTTACTATTTATTATATTATTAGTGGCTTAATAGGAGCTGGTGACGAACAACACAACTATTGTATTTATATATGTCAAAACCCAACCTAGCCTAGCCTAACCTAACCTAGCCTAGCCTAGCTACCTAACCTAAGCCTAGCTAGCCTAGCCCAGCCTGTAGCCTAACCTAACCCAACCTAGCCTAGCTAACTAACCTAGTGCCTAACCTAACCTAGCTTGCACCACCTAACCTGTTTAGCCTAACTCCAATTCCTAACCTAACCTAACCTAGTCTAGCCTAGCCTAACTTAACCTAACCTAACCTTAAAAGTCGCTGCATGACCAAAACGATAATACCGTTATATTAAATTAATAAGAATAATCTGTATTTGTTGTTTTCATCGGAGGTTTATATATATTTGTTTTTATTTCGATTTTATTTAAGTCAAAATTTACGGGTTTTAATTTTGCTCAAAACAACGGCAAATCACCAAGACGGTGAAGTTGGGTTAGGTTAGGATAGTGTTAGGTTAGGATAGAGTTAGGTTAGAAGATAGGATAGGATAGTGTTAGGGTTAGTGTTAGGTTAGGATAGGATAGTAGAAGTTAGTGTTAGATAGGATAGTGGTAGGTTAGTGTTAGGGTTAGAGTAGGATAGTGTTAGGATAGGTTAGTTAGTAATGATACAGTTTACAGCCAGCATAAAACCCATAATTCACTTCACTTAATCAATAGAACTGTGTTTTCTCTGCTCATGTTATTACACCGGCCTCCCACACATGTGGAGTGTGCAGTACGGTACGATTGATTTATCGTAATTTGTACCAAAGGAAAAATACCCTACCGTTATTTTGTACCCGATTCTGTCATCCCCCAAAAAATAAATAAATAAAATAAAAATGTAGCTCAATTTAAGGTGTAACAAAACAAGAATAATTATATTATTAACTTAAATATTTTATTTTTAACATAATAATATTGAATTTTCTAACATATTGAAGCTATATTATACATTTTACTTAATTTTCTGTCCCTGGCCACAAAGACTCAGAGTGTGTGTGTGTGTAATAATAATAATAATAATAAACGGTTTATTAATAGAGTTGCAGCCGGTGGCTGAAAATATACAGACTTACATGTGATTTAGACATAATGATATAATATGCTGAATACATTTACAGGGCTGTACAGTACATAAATCAGGAGTTGTTTATTATTTTAACAATAGATGGGATGGTGCTGTTCTTATATCTATCGGTGCGGGCTCTTATGGGCTGAATTTGTTGTAGTGGCGGACTGCGCGAGGTGGGGGGGGATCGCCGGTGGAGGAGGTATCACGAGGGTGGTGCAGTAGTCCACTGCCAAACCTTGCTAGTGCTTGGTGGTGGAGGTCACTGAGGATGGCATTTGGAGGGTGAGAGAGCGTTGATGGCCATATTCTGCGCCGAGCATGATTCTGCAGGCCCTTTTCTGTACCTTCTCTAGCTGGCGTTGTTGGGTGGAGTTGAGAGAAGACGACCAGGCTGGTGGGACGCATAACGTTAGTTTGGGGAGAATAGCGTTGTAGATGGTCCCTCAGCTCTCGTGGGTGTCCCAAGTGACCTAAGTGTGTGTGTGTGTGTGTGTTTGTGTTTGTGTGTGTGTGTGTGTGTCAGCTGGCATATGCATCCACCATGGGGCAATGTAATTTTGTGTGTTTCACTGGCTCACTGAGTGTGGCCGGACCTGACCACTGCTTCACCTGACCTCAAGGCTGAAACACACCTGTACCCTCATAACCGTACAGTACCGTAATTTTGTACCGTAGTGTACTGCATGCTAGCCAGGGGACGGCAGCCAATCAAATCTAGAGTGTGACGGCAGCCAATCAAATCTAGAGCGGGGACGGCAGCTAATCAAATCTAGAGCGATGGCAGCTAATCAAATCTAGAGCGGATGGCAGCTAATCAAATCTAGGCGGATGGCAGCTAATCAAATCTAATAAACTCGCTTTTGACTGAACCAATTAGCGTTCAGTATTCATCGTGGGTGGTGAGGTGCCAGACATTTTTAATCAGTTACAGCGTGGAGCCATAAAGTGTTGGGTCTGATGTAGATTATTGGAAGTTTATTGTTTTATTTTATTCTAAAAAAATATGGAAACTTTAGATAACTGAGGAACCCACGACTCATTCTGGTCCCTGACTCCACTTTTGTCATGACCCTCGACATCTCCAAATCATTTGACAGGGTATGGCACAAGTCTTTGCTTAAACCTCCTGCGGTTTCCCTCCTCCACTTTGTTTTCATCTCTAGCTTCCTTGAGAACCGATCCATGGCAGTTGTTGTCGAGGATCGATTCTTCCTCTACCAATAGTGGTGTCCCACAGGGTTCTGTTCTTTCACCAACTCTCTTCCTTCTTTTTATCAATGATTTACTTCACTCTTCAACTAATACTATCCATTCTACACTGATGATTCTACTCTTCACTCTTCCTCACATTTTCCCTTCCTCCTAACTCTCAAACTAGATCTGTTTCTTGAACTGATATCATTACTTCTATCAACACGGATCTGTGCAGCATCTCTGAATGGGGAGATACAAACTTGGTTAAGTTCAATAGTAAAACTCAATATTTACCAATTACACTTGTGTAGACGATCTCCCACCAATTACATTTCAGGACGCTATCCCCCCAAATTCTGAAATAAATATGTTAGGCCTCACCATTTCCTCCAATATGCTTCTGGAAATCACACATCCTTAGTATAACTAAAGCTGCCTCCCGAGTTGCTGTACAGATGCCGAAGCTATTCACTCTTGAGCAGTTGCTCCAAGTATATAGGGATTCATTCGTCCTAACTTGGAGTACTGCTCTCATATCTGGGGTGGCTCTTCTTCTGTCCAACTATTAGATAGGGTGGAATCAAATTTCATCTTATTATTAACTCTCTCCTTTAGTCGACAATTTCTCTTCCTTTCTCTTCCCAATGTTGCTTCACTCTGTTCTCTCTTTACAGGTACTTTAACGGGCAATGTTCGTGATTTGGCATCCTGTGTACCGCAAGGCCGTGGGTTCAGAAAACAATTCTGCTCGCTGTGCCCACCGCTTCTGGATGTCAGTCCACGAGAATAACCTTATAGTACCTCCTTCTTTCCTCACACAGCCAAACTGTGGAATGCTTTGCCTTCTTCTGCATGCTCTTACAATCTGTCTCACTAAAAAGCTGGTTTTCCCGCATCTTCGCTGGTGTAGATTAATACAGTATAACTTTTTTCCATATTTACAATTTTTTTCGTTTTTTTTTTTTCTCGCCCCAGGCTCTGTGGGTCATTTGACCCAGCCCGGTAATCCCGAAAAAAAGACCCAAGGCCCCCTTAAGCCCCACGGTTCCTTAACCATCCGTGGTCAGATGCTGGAATCCTACATGTCACCCCTGGTCAGGCAGAAGTGGAAATTTTCTGCTTAATAGGTCCCATTTGGTCTGAAAATAAAGGAAATGAACCTCAATTTGCTCTAATTGCCAATTTAAAGCTCCAGTGCGCCTGTTGCCAAGACAGACCTCTGAGATGACGTCACGCGACTTTACCACAGTGGTGCCGCTGTTACATGTTTTTGTGTCTCCAGGCTCCCCTTACAGACCCTGACCCTGACTCTGACCTAGAGTAAGAAATACTCTAACAGTTATTTATATTCTTGTGCAGGCTGACCAATGCGATCTTGGGTTATTATAGCTCTTGGGGTCCCGGTGAGGTTGTTAGTGTTAGTTTAGGTTAAGTTAGGTTATGTTTGTGTTAGGTTAGGTTATGGTAGTGTTAGGTTAGGTTAGTGAAGTCTTGTATGTGAGTTATAAAATTTGGTTCTATAGCTTCATTTTTATTTTTTTTGGTCTTGTTGGGTTAGTTAGGTTTATACGGGCAGGCACTACCTCTAGAGTATGCCTTTAGCTCGGATTCCAGGAATTACCCTCAGTAACTATCTCAAACGGTGTGTAAATAAGATTTCTATGATTTGTTTCTCAGTGTTTATGAATGAATGTCTCTCATCCAACAGGAACTACAAACCACAGGCTGAGAAACTAGAAGAATCAGTTTTACCTTTGGTGGTCCCAGATTATGTGGGAGCCCTGGTCCAGCCTCAGATAGACGACGGGGAAAAGGCTAAGGAAGAAGTTCACGTTAGTTTTTTCCCTTACATTGATTCGTTTTTTAGTTTGAGGTAGTTTTTTCCCTTATATTATTTCACATATAGTTTGGGGTAGTTTTTGGTCGTTTTTTCCCTTACATTGATTCATCTTTGAGCTGTGGCAGTATTATCCTTTACATTATTTCACACAGATGTAGTTTATGGTAATTTTTTCCCTTACATTAATTAATTTTGAGGTTTGTGGTGTGGTGTTTTTTTCCCTTACATTATTTCACATACATATAGTTAGTGGTCGTTTTTTCCCTTACATTATTTCACATAGTAGTTTCTATACAGTTCTCATTTGATTCAGTAATATAGTGGAAGATAAAGACCTTGTAGCTTTATGAAAATATATCATGATAAGCTTATACTACTCCCAGATGCCTTCAACATACCGGTAGTTCAGACATCATAGTATCGTCATCATCAACAACTTTGTGTTTTTCTGGCTAAATAAACTTTTTCAATATCAATATCAATTTTATACTTGGTGAATTAAATGTGGTATTTGACCCATGTGATGGTGTATGCTCCAGATGTGAAGTGGTAATGCAGCAATATCTCCGTTACCCAGAACTCTCCAATAGCCGGAATTTAAATTGTCAAGGAAAATCGTTCATTTCAAAGCCGGAATTTTCCATAAAATTCCGGCTTTGGGAACACTTCCGGAAAATTCTGAGAAAATTTCCGGGATGGTGGATATTTTTCCGGTTCGAGAGTCGTCTCGTTACCCGGAAATGTTCTGTACCAATTGTTCCGGCTAACAGAAACATCACTGTGTACTGTAATTATCGGTTACAGTACAGTACAGTCTCATGTTATTGAGTACATTTTCTTCCCAGCTACAGTACAGTACAGTATTGAGTACATTTTCTTCCCAGCTACAGTACAGTACAGTTGTAATGACCATTGACATAACAATCATTACAGGTCGAGATCACCAATTTGGCCCCGAAGAAGATAACATTCGACCTGAAGCGCGGCATCCAGCCCCAACTGGACAAGTTAGACAGACGGACAGACAAGGCCATAGCAGAGCTGATTAGACAGAAGTTGAAGGAAGGTAAACAACAGGACTTCTTGATTGCCGTTAATGTCGGCGCTCAAGTCCACCAAAAGACCGGTTATGACTCTGATGACTGAGTGTCTGTTTAGGTCTGTACTGCTCCCCCATTATACTTATGTTTGTCAATTCCACTGTACTGTAATTTATGTATATATAAAAAAATAAATAAATAACAAATACATAAATAAAATTAATAAATATTAAAGTGATAACCGTGGTAACATGTTGTTATTACCACCATGCTATTGTACTATTCCAGATGTTACTAAATGTTACATAATACTTCCTTGAGATAAATGTATACTATAGTATATATCAGGTGCCTAAAAGAGAGCTCAGGTTCTCAACTGGCTCAGCCATGTTATTATTATCCACTCTGTATCTGTGTTTTTCTGGCTAAATAACCGTTTCAATTTAATTCAATTCAACATTAATCCACCAGAAATCCACATTAATTCACCAGAAATCCACATTACTCCACTGCTGATATAAACAAGGTTAAATTTTAAATTTCCAGTATTTTATTTTATTTTATTTTTTTTATCCTCTTCGCCACTGATTGGCTTGTTAGCCGCCATGCATCGGTCACGTCTCTGATGACTTATTGTATTTTGTCATTGTATTTGTTCATAAATTAAGTTATTTATATAAGGACTTAGGCTATGATATAGTAGTGTTATTTTAAGCATTGTTCTGTAAGTACAGTACATAACTTGTGTTCCCTGTACAAATAACAACATCCTCAGGAACGGAACCCTGTCATAACCTGGGGACCTCCTGTATAGTTAACTTGTACTGTACTGTAGTATCATCAGGTAACTAAGAGGATCACACCTGCACTAAACACTATTTTTGGCGAAATTTAACACCACAAGTCTGTGTTGGTTTACAACATTACAGTCTGTCTAATATTTAACACCACAAGTCTGTGTTGGTTTACAACATCAACACAGTCAGTCACCTCATATACAAATAGTTGACCAAACAAAACACTACAGAAGGTTACATAAACAATTAATTTGTTTCTAATAATTTACTTAATGACAGCACAAGGATCATCTTACACATATTGAAAGTTATTATAATATATTACAATTAAATTAAGTCGACAACTGCAGTATGGAATGAAATAGTGAAGGTAAATTACTCTGATAAATGAACAGTCTTGGCCATGGCCAAATGTATAAAGGAAAAAATAAAATACAATTCTTGCAGACATTTACCAATACTGTACAGTATTACAGTTCTTTGTGGTCTAAGAAAAATACTTTTTTTTTTTTATAGGAATTAATAACCGGCACAGGTCAAATGACCCACAGACTGAGTGGGGAAAAAAAAAG